TTCTTTAAGAACGTGGTAAAGTATTGGGGCTTACCAAGGCATATCATCAGTGATCGAGACCCCAGCTTCACTGGGAACTTTTGGAGAGAGTTGTTCGACATACTTGGCACAGAATTGCACTTTTCTACTAGTTTCCACCCACAGACGGATGGACAAACGGAACGGGTCAATGCCTTACTAGAATGCTACTTGAGGCATTATGTAAGCGCGCATCAGAAAGATTGGGCAAGGCTCCTAGACATTGCCCAATTCTTTATAACTTGCAGCGGAGTGAGTCCACAGGGCGGAAGCCATTTGAGCTAGCCACAGGCCAACAAACACAAACTCCACATTCATTACCAGCCGCGTTCGAGGGAAAGAGTTTGAGGGCTTATCATATGGCCAAAGGATGGGAGGAACAACTCGACACTGCTAAGTCTTACTTGGATAAGGCAGCTAAGAAGATGAAGAAGTTTGCGGACCGTAAGCGGCGTCTCACGGACTATAGAGTTGGGGACATGGTCATGGTGAAGTTTAACCCAAGACAGTTCAAAGCACTACGGGGCATGCATCAGAATCTGATTCGCAAGTATAAGGGGCCATTTAAGATCGTCGGCAAGGTAGGCAAGATCTCATACAACTTGACATGTCATCGTATCTTAAGATCTACCCTGTCTTCCATGCTAGCATGCTTAAGCCATATCATGAAGATAAGGATGATCCGAGTAGGGGCCAATCAAGTCGAACGCCAATGACTATCACCGCCTCGCATGATCGGGAGATTGAGGCTATCATAGATTACCAGGCCAGGCGAAAACAAGGGCAAAAAGCCACCGCTATGTTCCTCGTCCATTGGAAAGGGCAATCACCGGAGGAGGCCACGTGGGAACGATATGAAGACTTGTGGCAATTCAAAGATAAGATTCGAGAGTTTATGCAGCAGCATTGCGCCGCGGTCGTCATAATATTGGGTAGGGGAGAGTGTGATGACCAGCCATGTCATCATGCCACATAGGCGCCATTTGGCATATATTAATGCCATGTGGAAGCTTACATAAGAAGAATGCTAGCATTTGTGAGAAGATTCTAGAGAGGTATGGACATTTCCTTAGGAAAAACCTAGATCCTTATGGATTTGCTAGGAAAGTCCTTGGAATCTTCTAGGCTTGTAGAGAATTGTAGAAAAAACCCTTATCTTGTAAATATCAAGGACTTGTGTAATAATTAATATTTACACACTAGCCCCTAGAAAACTAGTATATAAAGGGGGCCATTCATTTGTAATTCACCAAGCAAACAATTCAAGTTCTCCCTAGTAAAAAGCTTCCTTTAACAATTCTCTTGTGTTCTTTCTTTCATTCTCTTAGCGATCTTGAGTGTAGTAAGGCTGACTTGACATAGCAAGAACGTGAGCAAGTTGTGCAAGATCGTGAGCAAGTTGTCAAGTGTCGCACGTGTACTTGGTTAACAACTAAGGACGTGACATTAGTCTTTATAAATCAAGATCTCGAGATAAACTATCCATGGAATTTTGCAGTTGGCATTGAAAGATTCAATGGGGATAGTCTTGCTTTTGATATGAATGTAATTGTCCAACAACTAGTACCAATGTCAATGATGGTTCATCCATGTCCATAGATTCAGGAACTTCGCCAGGGTCCAAATCCTACTGATATGCCTGTATTTGTACTAATGCACTCTCCAATATACGCTTTGCATATGAAGATAATTATACATTTTTTCACATACAGAAATATGAAATACATAACAACTTTTCACATCTACATAATGTATTAGTACACTAATAACCTACCCCGTTCTAGCAGTTCCGAATAGTTCATGCTTGCAAGATGTTATCAAAAATGTTAAGTTAGTAGATATATGAAAAGAATTTCAACACTCATTATGAATATCATTTTTCTATTTCAGCAGAACAAGAAAGTCGATACCTGACAAAATCTCCCTTTAAAGCTGGAGTACCAGAGTACTGGATGCTTATATCATCCCCATGGTTGGCCCACACTGAAAATAGTTTTAAGGTAAAAGAAAAAACGGTTAAGACAAAGAAGTTTAATATCTATCAGCAAAGAAGCTTTAACACAGATATAAAAAAGTAAGTGCTCACAGATTTTGAAGCTTTCATCAAGGTTGGGGTGTGAGCTAATAGTTTCTTCAGCATCGAAAATACCAAGTCGTCTGAGCTGGAATTCCAGCATTTTCCGACCTAGCATGCTCTGCAAACAAACATCATCAATTAGAACATCTGTAAAGTGTGACGAGAAGTTAACCTAAATTTGTACGAGTTCCTCAGGAGGGAAGATACCTGAGTTACATTTGTACGGTCTAGGCAGTCAATGCAGTTGGTCCTCACAACTCCAAGTTGCAGCTCAACTTTCTCACCTTTTTCATTTAATAGAAAGTACCTATAACATAAGAATAAGAAATCCAAATTTAACGATCAAGATCAGGTGAAAAAACAATTAGATACTACAAGAAGAGAACTGGTAAGGGATGCGCTTCTATTCCACCCTGCTTAACAAAAACCCAAACACAAAGACTTACTTTATGATGCATTCAAATTTAAAGTCTCTTAAAACAACACCATGCAATTGATTGTTATTTTGGTCCACACAGAAGCTCTGTCATTGTGCCCAATGCCACCCCACGCTCCCTTTTTTCTACTCGCTCCTCTCTCTCATAATATTTCCTGACTCAATCTGCTATTTGGTTTAGTTATTCAGTTTCACCCTAATTTTCAAACCACATAAGAAGAGCTCTCTGTCTGCTGCTAGTGTGCTGCCTCTGCATGCGATACAGGTGTTTTGGTATAATCTTTTGATTTGGAGATGTATAACATGAAAGGGGACGTTCACGTTTCGCTGATTTATTTCTAATAGTTCCTGCTATGATAGAGTATACCCAGTTAAGTATTAATGTAAAAGTTGTCACAATGACTTCAAGTAGATTCAAGTGCATACCATGCTACCTTAGGTTGGATTTCTTGACTAGTTCTTGGTTAAAAAAGTTCAAGCCAGGTTTTACTGGTTTGTTTGCCTCCCAGACAGCATAAAGAGAAGAAAAACAGTTAAAATTGTTTACAATTAGCCCACCATACCCTCCACCATATCGTCCCTCTCGATTCAGGTAGAGGAGATTCAGATTCAGATTTGGAGCATACTTTTTATGTTGTCCCAAATTAGTTGCATCTAGTAATGGGGTAGAGAAAACTGAAACTCTATACAAGATAGTAAACTAGTAAACCTAAAATATATATTTGTATATACATATTGTGTTGTGTGTCAGATCTACACTCGGAAGAGGACATACCTATTTTTAATGAAGAAATCCTCAATTTGATCATAGAGGATAGAAAGACGCTCAAAATGAACATGCCCACATATGTGGTGAAAATCAAAGTGCAAGTATCTGCAAAAGTCACCAGATATTAGAATGAAGTGTGCTGCCTATAGATTAATACCACTTACCACGAGAAATAACCTTACAGACGTACTTCGCATCCTCACCAACAACATGCTGCATTGCATTCGCGAACTTTTCACTTAGGTGTCCTTCTCCTCCATGCTGATAAGAGTTTTGGAGGAAAAAGTCAAGGACGGATAGATAAAATTGTCTAAATTTTTCAATGCAAATAAACATCTTATGTTTTTTTAATACATATCACATTAAAAGATCAAAGATGAGACTTCCTCCAAGGTATCCAAAAAAAAACATCAAGCCACGTTTCTAACAGATCAACTAGCCTAGAAAAACAAGAATGATTTTATACCTTGTTGACAAGATCAATTGATAAAACATTTCCATACTTCTTTCTCAGATCCAGGTAGTGTCGCTCAACAACTCTAGGCTGTAGAATGTTACACAACAAATTCATTAAGAGTGAAAGGCACAATAAGAGTGTTAAAGAATTGAGATACTAAAAAAAGAAACAGTGGTACTCAACTGCTTCTATAATTCTCACTATCTCAAACTTGGGCTTATATGTCAAATCAACAATCTGATTCCATAGTAATGGGATTGACCCTCTGACCTACAAAAGGCAATAAGTCTTACTCCTATGAAATAACAGGATACCTCAAACAAAAAGTGAAAATGAACATATGCACCTAAGTCTTTCACATAGAGCGCGAAGCATTCTAAAATGTGATATATCAGTAAAACTCAAGCATTCATTTAAGATTGTGAATTTCCGGACCTTTCCTTTCGCTACTAGCCAAAAGGATTTCCTTTTCTGTAAAGAGATGACTTTGATCATACACATAGTCATTATCAAATTGGACACCAAAAGGGATCTTTTATGCTTCTCGTTATACAGCTCTACAGCTTCTGAACCCAGTCAAATTAGATTCAGGAGACATGTCATTCTGGCCCACATGGAAATGAAAACCCACCCACATTTTTTATTAAACTAGTAAAGAATAGGTGATACGAAACCTGTCAAGAAAATGTTAAAGAGATAAAAACACACCCACACACAAACACTGATTATGCGGGAGGTTATCTACTGCTAAGCAACTAATGAAAATTCAAGCAAATAGAAGATGAGCTATTGTCAGGCAGAGAGTTAATAAGTTTTATTGTCGTTGTCATACCAAAATGTACATTGCATCTCGGAGGTCCTGTATTGAGAATTAAACTGTCTTTCATCAGTAAGCTCACGAGAAAACTTTGATAAGTCAAATAACTGACGCAGTACATTATAAGAAGGATTTCTATACAGAATGGTCTGAACACCAAAAACCGTCTTGATAATTGATTTAGTTATTTCTTTAGTCTGATGACATCATGTCCTCCACCCTAGTACTCTCGATTCCTTCTAATCAAACCCTTCTTCTATCACCAAAAGACAGGAAAACACACACACAACTTGCACCAGAGAAAGTAGAACAAAAGTTATTAGTTTAAACATTTTATCTCAACAAAATCAAGTCAACATCAAATTCTAATGTAACAGGATTTTAACCCCCCCCCCCCCCAAACAGTCATATCTACATATGTATAAAAGGTTATTTCATGAGCAACAAAAGTGTTTGTGTAGAAACAAGTCAGAAATAAAGTTTGAACAAGTGTACCTGAACAAATGATGCTGTATACCCTTTCATCTGGATAATTTGCTCACTTTCCACAAAATTTGCAACAAATCCATCAGAATCAGCCCCTCTTCTCCACATTCGAGTGCCTACATTGATGAGCCAATTGCAGTAACCAAGAGAAAAGGTTAAGACTGATTAACTAACAGAAACTGAAGACCAGAGTAAAAAGAAGCGAGTTGCAACATGGATTCTATATAATTTGCATTCGTTTCATATACACGTTAATGAAAATGGATGATTCTTCAGAAAACTCATAACACTACCTGTGACCTTGTCCATTACTTTCATTGATCAGGCTTTGACAAATTGTAAAGTCAAGAGAAAAACAACAAGAAGAAAAAAGGAATACCAGTTCTCCTGTTGCATCTCCTTGCAATCAGCGTAATATCAATGATGTCTTTTCCAATTGCAGATTGAAAATTGTGAAAACCTTAAGATAAGTTAAGGCGTACATAAAAAAGGAACAATAATAGCTCCCATCACGCAGGAGTTAAAGTAGATGTGCTACTTGGAATAATCTGTGAATTTAACTGAATTTACAGGGATACTGCCTTGGACGACAGGAAGCAAGAATGGGTCAAGCTGTAAATTCAAGGCATAACAAATGAGTCAAAAACTTAATGAGAGAATAAAATGAACCCAAAGCACATAGATATCTGACCTTGTTATCTATCATCACTTCCATCATATAGTTGTTCCAAAGAAATCGAGGGTCTGCCTGCATAAAAGAAATTAAAAGCGATCTTTGAGATTACAGTTGCTTGTCCACCAACTAAAATAATTTAGAAGCAAGAAAGCTGCTGCATTTAAATAGATGACTTTAAGCAATCAGAGCTACACCATCACATCTATAGGACATTTACAACACTTACTTGTCTCCATAGAGGAAGCAACTTGGATTCATCACCCAAATCATGCAGTCGTTGAGCACTGCAGTGTGAACCATAAGTATTTTACTGTTAAGCACTACACCGTGATATCTTAACAATCAGATGAAAGACAATCAGCAATACAAATGTGTCAAATATATTCCATGTGGGCTGCAGAAGATAACATTTCCAAATTGAAAATAGAGTAATACTTTATATTTACAAAGCTCTTAGCTCATAGAATTCACCTGTAAAAATGGTAACCTAAAGAGGTCTAATACCGAGAAATGTTGAAAAAATAAGAGAAATTGCCTTAATTTGTCGTTGAAGACAGTGACCTAAATTTTTTTCAGGGGTTCAATGATATGAGAAAACATAGAGGGAGTCCAAACAAGTAATTCGGTATACACTAACCAATAGCCCCCAGAAAGGACCAAAGACTAAATCTCTAAGCTTTAGAATTTGGAAAATATATACTTACATAGAAAATGGATTCTGTGCCTAGCCGAACATAAAAATAAAAAAAAGAAGCGACATATAAGCAGGTAGAAGGTTGAAAAGACATTTCACCTTAATGTTAAATTGACATCATAAGAGAAGTACAGACCAGGAGTCCTCTCTGCAACGTTAAGCAGTGCCAAAAACTGAGCTTCCATGTTTTTCTGCCAAAAGCCAAAGCTATATCATAGGTACATAAATGAAAATACTAGCATGAGATTAAAAATAAACAGGAATAGGAAAGTAAATTGGAAATCGGAGACCTACCTGTTCAGCAGGAGAGTTCTTGAGAGAGTGATCGCAAGGAAAAAATTTCATTGATGAAACTTTAAAGATAGGGTGCCCGAAGTAAGATCCCACACATTCCCGTTCCGTTATGACAAGTAAATATGAACCTGAATGCAAGAACAGCACACATTAGATCAGAGCAAGTTTAGCAAGCTCAATAGCACGGCCACTTACTATCATAAGGCATAGTGGGATAAAGAGAACTCCATAATCATTCTTTTCTGGAATTTTGATGTTTCATTCGACTTCTTTCTATATATTCTGTATCTGTGTGTGATTATTTTATGGAACAAAATTTGAGAGAGAATGATTAACAAAAGGGGACAACCTTGACATGTATAAGGGATATTATTATTACTTGATATAGAGCAAATTGATAAAAGAATTTTGATTTACTGACAGCTGACCTGCTATTGAAATATAAAAGCAAAAACTTGAACTTTTAGTGCTTCCTAAAACTACTTACCAGCCAAAAGCTTTAGCATGCCTATAACACCAAATACTGTCTGAATTTTGGGAACACGAACCGAACTGCATTCTGGAACCTCATCTAACATAGAGAAAACATACAAGAAATAAAATATTGTTTGCTTAATACATATTCCAGAAGAAATTCATAAACAGGAACAGAAGCAAGTAACCTATTAGTTTCATAGATCCATCCATGCGACTAATCTCCAAACATGAACCACAGGATCCATCAGTAGGCTCAACAACATACTGATCTGGGAATTCCCAAAGTCGCATCCTTGTATATAGTTTCTGTGAAGGATCTGCCTTCTCCATCATAATTTAAAATGCTACGGACACTGAAACACAGAGTTGATTACCAAACCATTGCCTTTGTGGATCAATTAAAGTGGAATATGCAAAATATGAAAAACCAACAAAAGAATTCAAAAGGCCGGGTGACAGTGCCACAAGCACTAGCAAACTCTGATACAACACATGTAGACTTAATGCAGGTTTATATGAGTTATATATACGGATGTGTCAATATTACACATAGCAGCAACTAGTGCAAATGAAGCAGCTATGTTAGGTAACTAACACAACAAAATAATGCAGCTGCAAACTCGAAACAAATTACATGTTAGGGTTACATTAATTGTACGTTGAAAGTACTTTCTTTCCTCAGAAACATTAAAGTAATTACCTTTAGCAGTTGTTGATTCTCCATTCTGATGGACTAAAAATCATATAATGAGAGAGAATCATGATTCTCCATAGCACAAGTAGTATGTCACATATGAAAGCTTTTGTTCTTTCTATTGGATATATATTCAAGACCAACTCAATCCACGCGAGGACCTAATCCTTCCCCTTCAAATGTTTCACACATTGAACCTTGTTTTTGGAAACAAGATCGTTATTTTGCAGACAAGAATTATCTCAAGAAACGTATCTAACACATTCTTGACACGAAAATTCCCAAGGAAGTTATTGCCTTTTTGGACTAAGAATTTCAGGGACATTATCAAAAATTCATTAAGAATCCCGTATCACAGATGATTACAGAAAGTGAAAAATTGACGTACCTGAGAAGAAAAATTGACGTACCTGAGAAGAAAAATTGCCTGAAAATGAAAAGGAAAAGTGAAGTAATGAATCAACAGGTCAAGGGAGGCTTAGCCCAACCCAACCAAACCAAAAAGGATCAAGAATGGTAACAATGGAAGAGAAAAAATAGAAATTTTACGGGCAAATGGCATTAAGGGAGTGGGATATAACGGCTGATTCGCGTAAAATTAACGGAATACCGAACTATGCCTTAGATGTCGCCGCCCAGTTAGTGCATGTCACTTTCTTGTACTTGTCCGTTTTTCTTGTATAGGATTTAACATATATCTAGTGAAAAGGTGTACATGTAACGCCTTGTACCAAAATCTTTCGTGTCTCATCTCCATGTTCTAATACGTTGTGTTCCATTTGTCACCCGGCATGGTTTGGTGGGTACCACACAACAAATATATGAATTTAACATATACTATAACTTATGTCCCCTGAAGAATTATTATTATACTATTTGTGTATTTTAACATGTAAGAGACAAATTCAAAATTTAAGTTGATGGATTAATTTAGTATTCATGGCAGAGTCCGAGGAGCACAAAACACAACACGAAATTGATGCTCGCTAATCAAAGATAGTATAGTAAAATATCGTCTTCATATGGATTGAATTTAAATAATGTTCGAATAATTTCTGGTTTAATTGCTATTCAGGAGGATCAACACTTGAGTTAAATGATTATGAACTATGTTTAACTACTAAAATAGAGAAATTGACAATTGACCAATGAACTAGAGATTAATAGAGTTGATTTCTTATAAATGTGAGAAATAAGGGTGTGATACGATATGTGCAAGATAACCATTTGGGATTTAACTCTAGTTTAATTCACTCTAATGTTCTAATGATTCTCACGAATTCACTCGATGATTAGTTCAAACGTGTAGTCAAGACTCCTCTCTCGATTAAACCTTAACTCTACGAGGTGAACTAATATAAGAACTGTGAAAGTATGCAAACATGCATTAATGGATTAGCCTTTAGGAAAACGTCTCTCGAATATTCTCCTAACTTAATTTAATCAACAACTCAACAAGTTCTTTCGATTACTTAAGAGAAACAATGAAATTTAAATCAAACAAAATAATGCCAAAGATAATCACCAAAATATTCCTCTTTCGATCAAATAGACCAGTGAATAAAATTGCAATAATTTAAAACTCCATAAACGAATTCAAGCAAGAACTAAAGTTAAAATTCACAAATATTTATCAAAACATCATATCCGTCACACCCTAAGGTAAGCTACTCCATAATTATGGAGGAATTCATCACAAAAAGAGTTAAAGAATAAGAAAGTATCAATCTAACGTTATAATCCAAACTCTCGTATTGAATTGTTGGAAAGATGATGAAATTCTGTGTCTTATAGCCTCCAATGCTCTCCCAAAGCTTCCAAGGTTAAAAGTCCTCTAAAAATCGTATTTTTGGTGTATTTATACCATGTCGGAACGGACCCGGATGAAACTACCCTTTTCAAGCCGAAGTGGGACACTTGGACCACGAAAATACACTGGTGCGGCGCCCTGTGCGCCACATTAGTGAGGATCTTCATAGAGTTGATTTTTTTCACTTTGCAGAATTTTGCACTAGTGATATGAGCCCCGCAGCGGGGTAGTGCAATTTTCTTAGAGAAATTTTTATTTTCTCACTTTTTGATATTCAGAGTTGGTCCTCAACCCCCGAACGTGACCCCGACTTAATTTCTTGGGCTTTTACTCAGACTTCAAAGCTCCACATCGTTCGATTTAGTTCCAAATTATCTTTTTAACTCGGAATCACTTTCTCCAAGGCATAAACACACATAATGAGTGCAATACACTAACATTTAAGCTCAAATACAAGTAAAATACAGTAATTGAAGTGCAAACTACGATTGAAATACAGGTTTCTAGCCTACTATCAAAGCCACCTTATAATCAGGGGAAAAATATATCGTATAGGTAGGTAAATTTTTTTATATGCATATATACATGTTGACCCCTTTAATTTTTTTCATTGGTTTACTTTTATATATTTTGACATCCCTTAATGAAAATTCTGACTTCGTCACTGTTTAGTACTACAATAATAATTGCACGTACGATCAAATATTTATAGATACTTAATAAATTTTTTAATATACAATTATATATAAAGGATTTGCAATCTATTAATTTCACGTGAACCCATAACTAATTCTCTAGATTCACCCTCGTTGTAAAAGGTAATCTGTTTTTTTTCCAGGCTAATAATCTCGTTTTTTTTTTCCAGGCTAATAATCTAAGGTTGGAACATTTACTCTTATCTTGCATGAGCAGTTTGCACATTTCTTGGAAATGTTTTCACATTTTAGACTATAAAACTTGCTCCCAATTCTGTTTCTAATCTAGCTACACAATTTACTAATTAAACATTTCCTTCTCGGTGCAGGAAATGCATGGTTACATATCCATACGAATGATCAATGCTTAACGTAGAACTATTTGAAGTAAAAAACGCAATTAAGCGAATATACGTACATTCCTAGTTTCGAACTATATGCTATGTTCTTTAGTCAGGAGCTAATTTACTGTAGGTCCTGAAATTTACTGTAGCGTTCTGTCGTGTTTATTGAATAAAGACATTATTTGAGCTTTAGATTCAGCTATATATTGGACAATTATGTTCATTTCTATATATCTGTTGTTTGAACCGATAAAAGCTAAGGTGCTCCACTGTCAAGACCTCTCCCTGTTTTGCTACCCAAAAAAGAATTCATGGCAAAATTGATGATAAATAAGTATAGTACAAGAAAAGAAATATTATCTGTAACTTCCATTGTTTCAGTCATTCATATAATAGCAACACCATAATGAATGCATATGTATTAGGAATGCTCTATTTATTCATCTTAATTTGATCGCCACCACATTATACATCTTGCTTATATGACTGGAATGAGTTATTAATAATGCTTCGAGACTCTCGTATTGACATCACCTCCTCCGAACCATTAAAAGCTTCATCTTCATATGCTTGGTCTCACATTAAGCCTAGAAGCAAGCTTTTGACCCAGAGATTTGTCAGCCTGCAGTAATCCATTTAACACAGTCAGGAAATTTACAGAATCAGTCATCGCTCTATGAAATGCTTGGGATTATTTTTCTGACATTAAGTGAAGTTAACAGGACTCGAGGTTGATTCACTGAACTAGAATCGTTGAAAACACATGCCGAGATAAGCTTGAAATCTTGACCTAATAGTCTAGAGGCGAATTCAAAATCTAGAGTCGGTATGTTAAGAATGAGTGCGATCTTATAATATGTATATGTTTTTTTTTTTTTTTTTTTTTTTTTTTTGCATGTATACATTGTTTGAGCTGAAAACAAAGAGTTCAGTTGAACTAGCAGAAACTGCCCGAAATTCACCTATGTCTAACACATAAATAAATATAGGGTATGCTGGAGTACTGACCTGAGACCAGTATGAGATCCAAATGCTGCGGATCTCATAAGTGATACGAGGATCAGACAAGGCCTCCACCCACCGACGAATAAAGCGTTCTTGCCTATGATTGAAAAACACAAGTATATCAAACAGAATGGAGGAGATAGGGTTTAGGACTACTGAATGTAACTTAATTAACAACACCACACTTTAAGATAGGTCAATCATGTTTACCTGTCTGGTGTGAATGAGCGGTACCTATCTCCTGGTTGCTTAAAATTGTTCTCTTTCTGAATGACACACTGTAAGAATATTCAGCAGCACAAAAGTTAAAAATAAGTCTTTTGTTGGATTAAGGATCCAATACAATAAGCATCTCCTGGATATCTACTTAAGTTGTTTGGGCCACTGGATCAATTCAGGGTGTCAACTTCACACTGATCAAAATTTGTAATTTTAATTCAGCTTCAAGCATTATTAGATAAAAGGTAGAAAGGAACAAACCTTCTCTCGTTTGCCAGTGCACATTGTAGAAGGAATTGGATACTTCTCAGCATGGCGAACAGGATCATACCTTGAAGGGAAGTAGTCGATCTGTAATTCACCATGCATTAACTATAACGTATAAAGTAACACCATGATTGAATCATCAAATAACAATATCATCTCAGAAGAACTATTTCAATGGATATGAACGTCCACACTAAGGTGAAGGCACGCCATATGTGTGAAATAACTGGTTATTTCCTTCTTCTTTAAGTTACTACATCACCTTTGCTATGAAAAGTACGTTATTTTTATATGTGGTAAAAATAAAGAATATTAGCCTGATGGTGTAAAAAAAAATTAAAACTTTAAGCACTCGAACTCTTTAGCAAAATCTGAATCAAACATGGATATGTACTGTTATAGGAGATAGAAAGTACCTCCTCGTCCCTGTGCATAAAATTCATAGAGCCATCATAGTGATTGTTGTGATGAGCACACTTTGGAGCATTAGCAGGAAGTTGCAAATAGTTTGGTCCAAGTCGATACCTCTGGGTATCAGAGTAGGAGAAAATACGAGTTTGAAGCATCTTGTCATCTGAGTAATAAACACCTGGAACCACAATAGAAGGGCAGAAAGCGAGTTGCTCATTCTCATTAAAGAAGTTATCAATGTTCTTGTTCAGAACTAATCTTCCCACCGGCTGCAACGGCAAGATATCCTCTGGCCAAGTTTTTGTAACATCAAGTGGATCAAAATCAAATCTGTCTTCATGATCTGGATCCATAGTCTGAATGAAGAGCTTCCATTCAGGATAATTTCCAGCGGCAATAGAGTCATAGAGGTCTTGAGTAGCGTGGCTGTGATTTGCTCCTCCGATACGGGCTGCTTCTTCTTCCAACAAGGACTTGACACCACATGTGGGCTTCCAGTGGAACTTCACATAGGTTGATTTCCCAGCCTTGTTGATCAATGTGAATGTGTGGACACCAGAACCGTCCATATGCCTGTAATCTTGTGGAATACCAATATCGTCGAAGAGGAAAGTGAACATGTGCAGGCTTTCAGGAACATGAGAGAAAAAATCAAGGACCCTCCAATTCTCCTGGATATGGGATTTAGGATTTGGCTTCAGCGCGTGGACCATGTCAGGGAACTTCATTCCATCACGGATGAAGAAGACGGGGAAGTTGTTCCCTACCAGATCAAAGTTTCCCTGAGG